CCCCCCCAGAAAATAGAACCGTCTTGGGAAAGGCTCTAAAAATTTCCCCAACTGTGCCCAATGTTGTCCATACCTAATTCCACATAACGAATGTCTACTTTAAAACTTTTTGACAGTGTCTGGTGTACAGAACGGACCAAGCTCAAGATGTAAAGAAGATTGAGAAATTCCACAGTCAACTAATGCGACTTATGGTAGCCAAGGAGTCCCGAAGTGTTGCCATGGAAACAGACTGACTGGTTTAAGATGAAGACTCATGTTTTAGGAAGTAAATATCTTGAATTTGAGCAAATTTTGGAATAGAACATGCTTTATGTAACTGAGTGGGCTATTCATTATCTGAGATATCTTTTTTTGTACTTTATTTTTTGATGTTTACAGAGCTAGAGTGCATTTATTTATTTTTGGAAATCGAGCAAGACATGAATCTAAGATTTCATATATTATGCTGGACAAAATGCATAATTATTTCTCTGGTAAATTTGTGTCAATAATTTGAAAAGGGGATATCAGAACAAGCCACTTTTTTCATTTAATCTGTTTAAAAGAAAATTAAATGTAAACATTTTGATTGTTTGATATTTTTTTTTGGAGCATAACAAGTTGTGCTATAATGACCAATAAATATAAAATATGCTTACTGGAATTAACTATGCACAATGGTGTATCTAATTATATATAGTAGTATAATCTCAATTGTATCCAAAAGTAATTTTGAGTAATGAGTATGCTTTACCTTAAGCTTTCCATATTTAAACATTTTTTATGTAAGGGATTTGAAATGCCACTGCTTATTAAGCTATGACTTACTCTGAATCTGTTTTTCAGTGACCAAAACCAGCTTCAGTTACTTATTTTTCATTTAGGGTTTTCAATAACATCTTTATTAAAAATTTTAGAAAATAGTGGATAAATCATTTCAAAATTTCTATATATTAGTGAGATAGTAAAATAAAATTTCTATAATTAAAAAGAAAATAAATTTTAAGAAATCATAAAATTTATGTTGTGTAGATAGACGTCATCAGATCAGAAAATTGAGTGGAAATTAAAGAAGATATTACACTACTGAAGAGCGATAATTTTAATTCCTTAGGCTTCTCTGCACTGGATTTCATAATGCACAGTGAGGTTTGAGGATTTACTAAGCCTGTTGTTACTACATTCCTTATAGTCATAAGTCTTCCTCCACTGTGAGTCCTTAGATGTTTAGTGAGGCATGAGGAGTGACTAAATTAATTCCCACAGTCCTTATATTCATAAGCCCTCTCTCCGTTGTGAAGTCTTGTATGCTGTTTGAGGGTAGTAGACGTTCTCTTATATCCCTTACATTCATAGGCCGCTCACCTCTGTGAATTGTCATGTTGAATGAGTCTTGAGTAAAAAGCCTTGCCAGAGTGCTTATGTATACATGACTTCATTCCTTTGGAGATTCCCATGTCATCCGTGAGTGCTGAAGGATCTCGATAGCATTTGTTTTCTGGTCAAAATTCCTGCAGTGTGTGTATTGTTTTTCCCACAGTTCATCAATAGGTCAGTATTGCATCGAGTGTAAAGTTGCTTATTATGATCTAGTGAAGAAAGATCCTTGAATGATTTTCCATACAGAAAGCATTCCATGGGATATAAGTATCCTGGTCTTCTTCATGCAGGAGGAATTGAAATTGGGCTGGAGATGTCGTCAATAGTAGTATTTTCCTCGTCTCCTGCCCTGGATGCCACTGAAAAGTCTCTTCTCGGAAGTGGTTCTGGTTGTTACCCTGCTTTATATGGCCATGAAGCGCTCAGATTTCTTGTAATGTGGAGGCACTTTGATCATTTCTCAAGAATCTTGCTATTACATCTGCAGTGAGTAGGTTTTTACAGCTAGGTTTGTGTGGAGTCACTTCTGAGAAACATCCAACAGTGCCCATTCTTCTGGGGTAAAATCTACAGCCACGTCTTCAACAGTCACTGAGTCTGTGGTGTAGCTCAGGCTTCTCGAAGTCAAATCGTTGCCCTCTCTAAGTAAAAGCAGAGCCGCCGGGCGGTTTGGAGTCAGGTGAATGCAATTGAAAGACGTTAAAATCCTTCCTTAGGGTGCATCATGTGCAAGACAGTAGTACCAGATTTCTAGCTCCCTAGACTGGACCATATCTCTGTGTGACAAATGTTTGTTCTTCCAGGAAGCACAAAACATCCAACCAAGAATAACCCACTGTCTTTCCACAGCATAGCCTGATCTGAGATCCACATCTGCTCCAATTTCAGCACCTTAAATTATCTGCCTCCAAGCTTACCCGGGTCCTGAGCAGGAACTACTGAGGCTGGGTTTCTAGGGGTTTCCATCATCACGTGTCTGTGGAGTTTCCTCTGGGAAAGACCCAGCAATGCCCATTCTTCATGGGAGAAAGTCCACAGCCACCTCTTCAACAGCTGTGTCCACCCTAGCTCCCGCTTCTGGAGGGAGTCTCGTTGATTGTGCTTCCCGAGGTAGGCACGCACTTCAGAAAGAGGGCTGCGGTGGAAGCAGTCACTAGGCAGTTGGAGGGCAGGAGGAGGATGTGTGGTCCAGAGCCAGTTAGAACATTTGAAACACTGATTCATGCTGTCTTGGATGTGCACGGTGGTTCTCGTTGGTCTCCAGTCGCCTGGAATAGACTCGGTCTCTCCATCCCCCATACCTACGAACTACCTTCTTGGGACCCTCACTCTAAGCCTTTTCCAGCTTCAGTGACTGAGTGGATAAACCGAATGATGATCTCTAATGGATTGAAATCATGTTACAGAAATATGTGCTACATATATTTCATCTACAGTTTCTCAGAAGGCTAAAAATTATTTTGTTAAATCTTTATGTACCTGTATGACATCCCCTCCCCATTTTTTCTCTCGTGTTCATTTGTAACTTGGATTTGACCACCCTAATGTAATTTTCATGTGTTGATTCCTCAAGAGTGAAATTAAGGGACTACATTAAATTTTTTGTTGTTAGGAATTTGTCGTGTTGAGAACATTTTAGTATGGAAAGTCCATTGTTGATAGAAATTTTGGCGTGTTTCAAGGTCAGCAAATAAAATATTTCATAAATATATTCTGTGGTAAGTTTCAGCTGCTGAAGAATTAATGACTTAATTGGGAATTTAGTCTAAAATGATCCTAATATTATTGAAAATTTATATTTTCATTTCACTTATGACATGGTTTTTCCCTCCTGAGCTTTATGTTGACAACAAGGTAATTTTCTTGAGTAAGGGACGATTTTGATGGTTTTGGGTTGGTTTCACCCTGAGGTTCTTTGGGGACACTTTTCTTTCTCATTTACATCTTACACTTTTCCTTTAACAGCCTCTGCTTCTCAGCACTGTTTTCTAGAGATGACCGGAAGCGGAGGACTGCTCGGGTCAGCGTCTGTGCGGTTTTGAGTTTGTACTGTATCGCAGTGTGGTTACCCGCTGAGCTCCCACGTCAGGCTGCTTGTGTTGGAGCCCTGGTTCCACCACTTCCTGATTCTGCGATTTTAAGGCAATATACTTCCCCACACTACCTTTACTTCACTGAAAATTGGGGTAAAATTCCTTTCTCATAAGATTGAAGAGGATTAAACTATATAATCCATTTTAAATCCTTAGCACACTGTGGGACACAGTACGACTTAGTAAATGGTAGCAATAATTATCACTATTATTATTTCATGGGAAAGGGTAACTGATTCTTAAGGTGTTTTTTTTTCTTTTTATAAAACTGATTTAAGTCTGGCTAGACCAGAGGATGTACACTGGTACAGATAGGAACTGGAAATACAGGGAATCCACGGTGGATGAGCCCTACAGGACCAGTGGTGTGAGTGGCGATACAGGGAGGGTAGAGGGAGAGTGGGTAGGAAGGAGGGAACCGATTACAAGGGACTATATGTGACCTCCTCCCTGGGGGACGGACAACAGAAAAGTGGGTGAAGGGAGGCGTCGGACAGGGCAAGATATGACAAAATAATTTATAAACTATGAAGGGCTCATGAGGGAGGGGGGAGCCGAGAGGGAGGGGAAAAATGAGGACCTAATGCCAGGGGCTTAAGTGGAGAGAAAATGTTTTGAGAATGATGAGGGCAATGAATGTACAAATGCGCTTTACACAATTGATGTGTGTATGGATTGTGATATGAGTTGTATGAGCCCCTAATAAAATGATTTAAAAAAAACTAATTGATTATTTATAGGCACTTTCTGTCTTTTCTGCCGATGTTTTTCTTTTAAATATCCTCCTTGACTTGGGAAGCAAAGCAAGATTTCTCCTAAGAAGTTCTGTGCTTATGAAAACGAAAGCTAAATTCTTAAGTATAATACTTATGTTTATTTGTGTCAGCACAAAATAAGAGGATGTGTCACCAAGTTGAAAATAGTATATTTGGAAAAAACAACAGAAAAACATTGCCGTCAGGTCAGTGAAAGCTGATGACAGCCCTACGTGTGACCGAGTAGACATGCTGCGTGGAGTTTTCTTGGCTGTATCTGTATGGCAGTAATCGCTAAGCTTTTCTTCTGTGGCACTTCTTTGTGGGCTAAACTGCCAAACTTCGCTTAGTATAAAGTGCCCACTCGTAGCCCCTCTGGTCCCTGTCCAGTGCCTGCAGTGATGGGCTCGGGCGTTACGGTTGTGAAGATGGTTCTGTTGGACGTAAGTCACTGTCAGTCGGAACCCACTTGATGGCAGCCTGCTTTTGTGCCATGGGGGGGGGGGGCAGGGGACCATGTTGAGGTCAGGGCTGATAACAAATTTGTATCAAGTGTTTTGAAGATCGGAAAATCCTCAAACAAGCAAGGCAGAAAAGTCTGTTCAGGAGATTCTGGTGACTGGGGGCGTTGCAAAGGACTGCCCTGATGGATTTTCTCTAGGGACACAGGACCATCGTGGTCACTTGTTAGCGGTCTTGAGAAAATTGTGAACTGTATCTGTGAGGAAAGGCCCTTTTCATCCTGATGACCGCACTTGGCTGACTGGCAAGAGCTGTCGTACAGGAAGTTCAGATTCTGAGTGCTTCAAGGGTGAGAAAGGTCTGCCGTCAGAACCTAAGAGCACAGGCGTATTTAGGGCAGGTCTGCGGTTTGTCGTTAGGTGCCGTCCAGCGAGTTCTGACTCGCAGCGACCCCGGCCCGCTCAGTCAAGGACCATCCTCAGTGGTTCCTGTGTTTGAGCCAATGGTTGGACTCACCGTGTCATTCCACCTTGTTGAGGCCCTCTGTCTTTCGCTGCCCCTGACCTCTACCAAGCATGATGTCTTCCAAGGGCTGGCCTCTCCTGACAGCATGTCCAAGGTATGTGAGATTGAGGTCTTGCCGTCTGCCGCTAAGCATTATGGTTGTACTTATTCCAGGACAGATGTGTTCTTTTGGCAGTCTATGGTATTTGTGCTGTTCTTTAGGAAAACATCAGTTTTTCCTCAGTCTTCCTTACTCAGTGTTGACCTTTCACATGCAGATGAGGTGACAAAAGTACTTAAAACATCTTCAGAAGTGTGGACCAAGCTGGAGGTTATTATGAGAAACTAGCATATTATTTTCAAATTCTTAATAAAGGTTTCTGTTCTTTTGTAGGAACATTTTAAACTTACATACATACATAGAAAGCTGATATTGGGCAAAGGTGATAATGCAGTTCAGCATTGGAAGA